CAGAACTGGTTAATTTAATGTCAACTGCTCCTATCTAAAATATTTATGGTGCACATGAGGTATGATTAATGCAGTACGCATCTACCTGCACTGTCAGGCACACGCAGCCCCTCACCCTGTCAAAGATGATGTGAATGCTGCAAGAGCCTTCGCTTTGGCTGGAAAGGTTTTCTATGAACATCTATCCCTGCAGGACCCAAACTCAGCCTATCCCCCTCCCCCGGCCCAATAGGCAATACCTCACCTCTGCTGCTCAACCAGCTGCTTCTCTCCTGACCACTCCGCTTTCCATAACATTTTTAGCACTGTGATGTGCTGTAACACATTGTACTCCACTCCAGTATCCCATTCCGTCTGCTGTATGAATTCTGCCACCTAAACAGTGCTATAAAAACTACGCAGTCAATTATGTACAAAGACCTCCCCCACTCCCTTCCCCACCTTATCAGGCTGGCTCCATATTTAGCAATCACTACTCATCTCAGACATACTGAATAAAAAATAGCTACCTGCCTTCAGGGAGCTATTCTGCCTCTTCCCAAGAGGCTGCTGAAGGTGGGATTCACTCTATTTACCGCTGTAACTACAGCTCCCAAGGTTGCATCCTTTCTGAGCGGTGCTGGTCAAGCTTAAAAGCACAGAGGATGTGCTGTTGCTGAACAGGTTGACTAATTTCTTGGTGTATTACAGAAGCAATCCCCATGTCCTTTCCAGCTTCCATCACAAAAGGCTCCTTATAGCCTGAACTGTATTAACAACACATTTCATTACATTTTTTAAAAGGACTATGATTCTAAAAGGAGAGCCCTAAAGACAATTTGCTATAAAAGAGTCTAGAAGTCCTTTGGCTTTGGATACCAAAAAAGAGATGTTCAGTGAGTAGCCACAACACAGATCTCTTGAATGGTGTGTTTAAGAATCAGTTCTTTTAGTAATTCTCCATTGTTGATGGATAATTTTTGGTGAAGGAAAGTGAATTTTCACATGGCCACAAGCCAAACCAATATTTTCTCCAGTTTTCTTTTAGTTATTGCTCCATAGTGAAGCAGAGAAAGGCTGGGAGAACTACCTGCCCAAGTCCCAGCACTGGTTCACATCAGCCCTGTGTGCGTACATGGGAGAACTGGTACATGCTGTAGCTTGCAGGAACAGCACGAGGCAGAACAAAGCCAAGAGGTGCGAAGTGCTCGTGACAGCAGTACACGTGCCACGCTGAGTTCTGCTCCTGCCCTTCTCACAGCAGTGGGTTCAGGCGGATCCTGCCTTCACAATGGGAGAAATGATATGGCTAACAAGAAGATGCTTCTTGGTGGACAGGCACAGACTCAGATAATATAAGAACAATCCTTTAAGTCTGCTAGTCATCACCTGCTGTGCTCTTCTAAGGTAAAAATCACCTTAGCTCTCCATAACTTAATTATCTCTGCAGTAGCCAGGGAGAACAAAGAAACCGACGAGTACCACTTACTAAGGCCTATGGCAGCTAGCAGTCTTTTGTTCCAAGTCCATTTTTGTCTTCTGCTCCATTTTCACCAAGAAAAGAGGTTGGCAAGAGTAAGTTATACACAAATCCAGAATCTATTGCTTTCTGAATGCGCTACAGCCTCATGCAGCTGTAGCAAAACCCAGCCAAAACAAGACACAGGTCGTGCAATAGCCAGGATGGAGCTGGAGATCTCTGCTGAATCTCAGGGGTTTGTTGGCAAGTTATGCCTATATTCAGAATTTTATCCTTGCAGTATTCTTGGTGTCCTGAGACTGGCAGGCACTTGGGTAATGTCCTCCCATGCAGATTTTTTTAGTACATACATTGAAGAAAACCCTCACTGCTGTAGATATTTGTAACCGGTGCTAAGATTGGTCTGGATGGATTATGAATGGAAACATCCATGCGTGTGAACCAACCAACCTATCAGCAGCAGACTTGTCCTCCAACAACAGGGGGAGAACAAGCTTAGAGAGCATATCACTTCCATAGCCTATCTGAAGGCAGGTTGTAGCCATAAAGATCCCCCAAAACAAGGAAACAAAGACAATGGTACTGCTCAAGATCTATGGAGATCAAAAAGAGCAAGACCCCCAGGCGAAAGATCACTCCACAATAACAGGCAGTCCTAGAAAATGTAAAAAAAAAACAAACCTAAAACAACCAACCAACAACCAGCTGAAGAGCTTGTCTGCTGCAAAGAACAACTCCGAAGACATAGTGAGGGCTTGACAGATGGGATCCCTGGCTTTCCCTGCAGCACACAACCAAGCCTGGCTACAGCACTACATGGGGCAGCGAGAGAACAAGTGAGTGACACCTAGAAGCGTGAATGACTGGGAACAGTTGTGTTTAGCATAAATACAGCCTCTCCCTTCTATAAATTCTCACATTGAGTTTTATTGTATTCATTCTGGGAGATGCATCTTTTAGACCAGCTAATCTTCAGGGCACTTCATCTTCAGGTGAAAACCTAAAGGCTGCATTTTGTTGAAGGAGGGCCTAGCATATCTGAGGAGAAGTAATAAGCTTCCCCATAAAAAGAAGAAAAAACAAATGCAGTTCATGCACTCTGGTGGTATTCTCATGAAAAGCAGCATTCCTCAAAATCACACACTACAAAACATTCTCTGAGTGCGGTACTTTGCACCGGCACAGAGCAGCTGTAGCAACAAACATGAAAGCATCACTTTTTAAAAGCATGTTTGTATTACTGAGAGCAGGTACTCAGGCATTAAAGTTTCACCAAATCTTTGATCATGTCAGTGTGCCACCTTTGGAAGTTGTCCTTTTAGTCCTTAAATTGAAAAGGATTATGAAAACATACGGATGTTGAGACGTTGAGAAACAAGCCCTCTTGGAAGATGAGGTTTTAAATCCATTTTCTTTCCTGTGTGAGTACACTGAAGAGATGCACGGGCAGGAAGAACTAGGGCTTTTGTCTTGCTGAAAACTGGGTTTCTGACAGTCACTGGTGAAAACTGTCTCTGACCTAAGGGGTATCTGCAGCAGTCAGAAACCCAGCATTACAAAGAAAATAAACTTGCCACAGCTAACACAGTCATATGAATCTTCGTTTTGGTCCCTGGGAACAGCACTACAATAAATGAGAGAGGTCAAGAGGAATGTGATTTAGAAGAATACATTTCTATCCTCTATCCCTCAAAGCTATTCCCCAAACAATTCCTTTCTTTGATGCAGGAAAAGAAAGCAAAGAAACTCCCCTCCCACCACGTTTCAAGAGAAAAGAGCCTTCCCAGCTCTTTGTACTCTCGGCCCTCTTTGCTTATCACTTATGGCTCAAGACAGACAACTGCAATTCCCATCGGTTTTCCAGAAGAGATCAATTCTCCTACCCAGGAATAAAGTGTCCAGGAACCACTTAATCACACTTTTCAGAGAAGTAAGATCAGAAACCATCCCATCCCTGGCAGAGGGGCTGGCAAAGATGTTCCGGCAGCGTTCGAGGTTGGAATACCAAATGTTAGACTTGTTCTAATACAGACATTTGGATTGCAAGACAGGATTTTCCTTTCTTCATTGAGCTGATAGCTACACGCCGCCTGCCTTCAGGGTAAAACAACACTTGTAAGGGTGCAGTATTTTGTTGGCAGAAATACTCTCTTTCTAGGAAAGCCCAATGAAAGCAGCCAGTGTATGCAATGATAAGACAATGATAGACCTTTCAGAGAATTATATCCCTTCCCATGATGGTAAGCTATGTAAACTCAAAAAGGAAGGAATTCTACCCTGCATGAAAGCAGATTCTTGCCCTGTACTGCCAAGGGACTGAACTTAATCGCTAATCCTCTCCATCTCGTAGCGGATGCAGAACTCCAAGCCACAGGACTGTGCTGGTGTAGCAGGAATATTTCCCTGGAGACAGCAGCTCACAGAAGAGATAAGGTACATCACAGCTTTGGAGTGACAAGACTGCTATCACAGCCTGTCCCTCATTACTATTTCCAACCTTCAGCACAGATCTATGATGCCTTTTCAGGATTAGCCTACTTCCAAAGCTAAAGAAAGTCTCTCTTAATTTACAGCCTGTTACTTATTTAACACCAGAATCATATTAATTGAGAGCATCTTTGAACTATCTCAGCATTTTAGCAGTACAGTGTACTTGGAATATCACAAAAGACTAGAGAGAGTGTACAGAACAATGCCAAGTGTGGTGTTTGGCTTAAACAGAGCACATTTTAAGTACAAACATTCTGGCCTATACCTAGAAGCACGGAATCTGGTAGGATATATTACCTCCTTTCTTAAATACTGAAGGGGTTTTGCCTCCAAAGAGTCCCATGAATGGTCATCTTAATAAAATTATTATAATCTCCAGAAATGGTTGCAAGTAATGGACATATAAAAACCAGAACTGGTGACAAGTCAGACCCCAAGATTCTGGCCTAAGGATCCCCTTCTTTGCATAAAACTTCAATGCAACAAAATGAGTTAGAACTTTTCACAGGATCAAAAGCCTTTTCCAAACACATTATTTTACGACACTGAGATGAAACAAAAGGTTTATTACCAAAAGTATACATAAGCTTATATATATATATATATATATTTTGATATCAAAATGGTAATTTTGCTACTTGCATCCTTCTCATCACCTTGGCACCCATTCCCCCCAAACCAAAAGGCTATGTTGATACAGGTGAGATGGACAACTATTGTGCAATATTAAAAACTACTGGCTTATAATTTATTACCAGTAATGAGTCTCAGCTATTCATCCTGAGTTATTCTTCTAAAGGCAAAGCAGTTAAAAGTAATGGGTATCTCCTTCAGCTCAGAATAATGAGGACACTAAAAAAAAGTATATAAACAGCTAAAGCATATGCCAGCTATGCAGGCAGAAAGACCTGCTCTAATTGAATGGGCAGTACACCTGCAGCATAGGCAAGTCAGAAAACCACATCATCTATCATGCTGGAGGAAAATTAATAGGTACAAGAGGCACAGTGCATCCCACAAGTGATTACTAAGCTCCCTTTCCATGACTTACTTTCCCTCCGATCCATAGCTGTTCATGCTGTCCTCAATGGACTCATGGCTGGCTTGACGGACGGTCCGGCTCGGCATTTCAACAGCCAGCCCAGTTTCTGTGCTCCTCTGGATGGCTCCTTTGAGTCTTCGACCATCCCCATCTAGGAACAAAAGGGGAGAAAAGGCAGTTAGCTATTGCTCCCAGAGCCTTTTGCAGTGGCAAACAGATACTCAAAACATACACACTGCCCTACCTACTCAAACCATTTGTACCAATGAATTATGCACGGAGTGCTGGTGCATGAAGGCAGAAAGGCTGTATGTGGAGCTACCCAGCCTGGGAACAGCAGTAACCATGGGCATAGCCAAGGCATGCAGCCTGACCATACCTCAAAACGTTTCCTAAATCCCATGTTGCTGCTTAGAATGTGCAGAGCAGCAAAGAGCCGCAAGTCCTCATGAGCATCAAGAGAGCAGAGGAAAGAAAAAGGTGAGGCAGCACCAGAGGCGGTGGGAAGGCAGAAGCCCCCCAAGATGGGCTACAGGGGAATGGTTGAGCATTGCCAAAATTTCCATGATGGCACCTGGAAAGGCACCAGCAGTGGAAGACCCTGGAGAGGACTATTCCCCTCTGCTTGCCCTCAGCCACAGTGCAAAGGGAATTCAGGAGGTTCTGGTTCCTCCTGGGTGCAGTCTTCAGAGGCTCAGCCCTCTGAAATTAACAGCTGCTATTTTCATCCTCCACCTCAAGCAGTCTGTTTCTTAGAACAAACCATGTTATGTAATGAATATGTAATGAATACCATTACTATTAATTGCTTTAGCTGGTGTTCGGAAGCTCCAGATTCCATCCCACATACAGCATTCATCCTGAAACACATCTGCTACAAGCTTTCTGAACAAAGCAGAATTATCTACGTCCTTTAAAGATGTCTCCCCATTAACTTGGATTCAGGCAACCAAACCTCTGACCCACAGTGCTCTCAGAAACCACCAGCTTTTTGACTACCACCCCTGAGAACAAATGACCCAGCTGCAGAGTCTAGAGAACTTGGGATCCCCAAATGTTAAAGAAACTATTATTTCCCAACTGCTTTGGAAGTATGAGGATATCTGTAAGAGCTTGTCTAATCCACACAGAATGTTCTTATTTGTGTAGCAAGCTGCTTGACTTAAAATACTTTTCTTTAGATGTTCGACCATCCCCATCTAGGAACAAAAGGGGAGAAAAGGCAGCCAACTATTGCTCCCAGAGCATTTCACTTTAGGATCTTGATGTGAACAAGTAAGATATCAGAAATGTTTTCTATTCTATTTCTCAAATTATACCTACTCTGAAATGCAAGACAAAAATTCTGTTATAAATACAGCTATAAAGTCCCTTTTCCTTTGGTATTATGAGGTTTCCAACTGGGTGAAAGTGTTGGCTCCAGGGCTCTGTACCAGCTGCTGTCCCCACATATGGTGCAGCATGTGTACGCACATCCCCATGGGCTGAAAGGATAGAATACGCACGTTCTGGGTTAACATTAACTACAGTTTGTATTGTTTGTGTGCCTAGAGCAATGTATGAAGCACATTGTACAAATCAGGAAGTCACACAAACATAAAACATATTTTTAATGTGCTTCCAAAATCCAAACCTTCAGGCAAGAGTAACAATACAGGCATCAACAAAAGCAAAGCTCGTGAAATGGCCCCAATCACTGCAGAACAGTTGCCTTTGGTGCACCATCTACATGCCTCGTTGCTGTATGGGGTTTCCCTTTCAAGAGCATCCCACAGACTTGTGAGAAGCTTTTATGGTCCATTTAATTTGCCTCACATTCGGCTCCACAAACAATCTTTTAGTCATCTACATCCATCAATGTCCATCCCTCCTTCAAGCCTGCACTCTTAGAACGCTCATCCTTCTGCACCTTTTAGGTTAGTCCTTAAAAGAGCCTTGGTATGCAAACAGAGTCAAAGCAGCACATGACATAAATGTAGCAAACAAAAATGCCCAGTTGCCCAACTATGCAATATCTGTTTAGAAAAATCTCTTATTTCCCCAATCTAATAAGACATTCATACTTAGAAGACTCTGTATCCACATCTGGCAACAAATGAGAGTGTTGGGGCAGAGCAAGGCTTAAGAGCAACCCAAGGTACTTGATGACTTCTATTGGCCATCTCCTGAGACAAAGGTAAGGACATAAAGCAGAAGGCCCCAAAGACAAGGAAAGGCAGCACCACAGACAAGGGGCAGCACCAGAGTCCTGCATTGGAGATGATTCAGCTGGCACAGGGCAAGATCAGCTGTAATACCCCATGAACAGCCTTGCACTGCTGGCTTTCTATGAGTGGGTGCTTTTCTAGTATTTCTCATTGCTTTTACAGCTATGACATGGATATTCTCATTAAAAAGTAACGGAGAAACTCTGAAAAAGATGACGACAGGAAAGATGACAGGAATCCTTTGTTCCTCCCTCGCCTTCCAGACAGAGATGCACAGCAATTCTTGCATCTCGGAAACCATCTCCCATTATTCTGGAGAAAGGTTTCGCCAGCCTTTTTCCCCTCCAGTCTCTTTTTGCCATAAGTTTCCCCTGAACAGGAGGGAAGTAGCGTGTTTTGCCAAAAAGACAAGCTCCCAAACCACACTGCGGCCAGAGTGGAGACTAAAAGAGGGTAAGAGATCAGCACAAGCACCACTGACACCATTAGAATTGTGACACAGGTTCTTAAACTATTCATATAAACCCTTTGGTTAAATTTTACCTGTAATGAGCATGTAATAAAAACACAGTGTTTTAACCCCTTCAGTGGGAAGGATAGATCAGTAGCAGTACCCCTGGAAAGGATCATCACACAAAGGAACTAAACGTGGACAAAGCTGCACTGCTCATCTGCAGAGTGAAAACACTTCACAGTCACCCACTAGCAACCTTTTCTGGTCAGTGTTGAGCATGGCATAGGGGTTGCGCCTTCTCCCTTACCTGAAATATTGTGCTTCAACACCTTTGCATATGAAGAAGGTAAATGATATGCACCTATGTGGGTGTCGTGGTAAAAACATTTGTCTTAATTCTAGCAGTATCTGGAATAAGTAAGAGTTGATCGACATTTTCTGCATGCCTCCAGATTTATTCCCTGCACCTTTTCCAATTAAGCAGTAAATGGCAAAGGTTAAGCAGCGGGTCAGGCCTGCAGTGCAGCATGCAGCTGAAGAGCAGGTTCTGCTTCAGAATGACATTGGGAAGACAACATTTTTTGCTCAAATATTCAGGATGAAGATACACATCACCTAAAGATGCCAAGAACCAGAAGGAACCAGCAGACACTTTGCCAAGTTCTCTGCTGACAGGCGCTTAGATTTTGCTTTGTTCAGCCAAACAATTTACACTTGGCCTAAGAATATCTTCTAAAAGCCATCTACTGTGGATTTGAAGATACCAAGAGATGAAGTATCTGCCATTTGCCCGTGCCCTTTATTTTACTACCTGACATTTAGAGATGTGACTTAACTTTGCCTGGTTTCAGCTTTCACCCATCAGGTTTTTAATGCCCTTCTCTACTGCAAGGACTATTTTGTGTTCTCGCTATAAAAAGTCTTCTGCAGTGTAGAATCAAGTCACCTCTCAATCTTTTCTGACAAGTTAAACAGACTGAGCTCTTTATGTTCCTCATGCTCTGGCATTTTTTAATCCTGCCCTTGAATCTTTCTAATGACCTTCCCAGGTTTTAAATGCCCTTTTGAGAATGCACACGGGAGAACTGGAGACTCAGTTTTAGTGCAAAAACACATGCAGAGGTAAAAATCAGCCTGTACTCTCATCTTCACAGCTTCTGGTTCCATCTCCCAAGACTACAGTAAGCTCTTAGCGCAGCACTGCACCTCACCTGGTCGCTGTGTAGTCTTTATCTGTCCTGCTGCTACAACCTTGTAGAAGTTTATATTGAGAAATATACAAGAAAACACATTATATTTGGAGAGAGAGAAAAAAGTCCCAACAGTTCTATGCAACTTTTGCACCCTCAATACTATTTACTGCTTTTCTAACGTGCCTATCACCTGTGAATTTAATGAGGCTTAAACTCGTTCCAAATCAAATGAAAATGCTGAATAGCATTAGGCCTTCAAAAGATCCTCCTCCCTTTGAGGCTTTTCCTTACCAATGGCTCTATGAAACGTGAAGCAAGTTTTTAATCTATTTGTCACTATCATATTTTTTAGGGTCATGTTGTTCTAGGACAAAACCCTGACAATACTGACTACATTTACCCAGATACCTGCTTCTACTAAAACTCAATGAAAAAAAAAAAGTCTGACAAGACCCATTTTCCTTAAATCCTTCCTAATATTAATTATATCTAATTATTTTGTTCGTTATTAATTGGACCTCATTATGTTTCCCCTAATTCTGTCTGAGACCAATTGACAAAATGTTCCCTCCAGACAGCCCAGTAATTGGCAAATAGGAATAAGGTGACTGTGTGAGTGCCCTGCAGAACAGGGCATCCTTTGGAGAGTTCCACTTCTTAAATACATTTTCAGCTGCCAAGGCAGCTCTTCTCAAGGATGATGTCACTCCTGTGGCAGAACTGACTACCACCAAGAACTGTATTTGCCTTAATCTCAGGGGTATGAAGTAAATAAGAATGGCTGCGTCCCCTTCTCTGCCCCAAGGAAAGAGTCACCATTTCTCACATCCTATTCTGTTATCAGTCTAACACACAACTCTTCAAAGCCCTTTCAGCTGCTGACAGGTTTTTCTGTGCTCAGAGGCCATCAAGTCTTGAAAAATCCACGCGCGTTCTGCACTAGCTCATCACAAGGTCGTCATTATGTTATTATTACTCTTATACAGAATTACTCTGAGATAGATGCTTATTGAGTTGACATTTCTAAGGGACAGTGTGCATCTTTCACTGTTGTCCTTACACTACCTCCTCTCTTCTCGCTTCCTTTTCCCCCATCAAGGTATTTGGTACTTTCCTTCTCTGTTCTTTTTTGTTCTCAATTTTCTCCCCATGTTTGCTCAGTTTCCTGGATACTACCAACACAAAAAGAAATCAGCATGATGCATATGCTATAGACCCTCCCATACTTTAATTGATATTGATTTAACCCTGAGATTAGGAATTGACTGAATTTCAACTCAATCAGCTTTGCTCTTAA